CCACTGGACTGAACCAAACCGCTCAGCTGAGTCAATGTCCAATGTGAAGGTTGTGTAGTTACATGACAGGACGTGTGAATAAGGAAAGATTTGAGCCATTGTTACACGTAACCACACGTTTTTTGTTTTGTTTTTTTTTTCTCCAAGAACACACCAGCATTTTGAAACATGTGCTACCTTTAGGAAATTCTACTTCTCTTTCAACTTTGTGTCACAAAGAGGAGGTAACTTCCCAAATAGGTACCACTGCTTCCAAAGTCCCCTTCTGGTTTCAATTTGCCATGTGGAAAACTACCCTGAGAAAAGTCAATCACACGCCCCTCTGGTATTTATTAATCAGAAACCCTTTATATCCATCCTACGTAGATCTCAAACAACATTAAGGAAAAAGGCTGAGAGTTCCAGAATTCAGTTACTTTTGCCAGTCTTATGAAGATGCCTATTTGAAGGCCAAGATGAGTTATTGAATTTGCAACAAAGATGAACCTGGAGGAACATGAAGTAAAATAATCCAATTACAGAAAGGCAAATACTGTGTGATCTCTCCGCTATGGGGAAGCTATAGAAGTCAAGGTCATAGGAAGGCCATGTTAGTAACTATTGTTGCTGTGACAGAGTACCTGACCGAAGCATCTTAAGGGAGGAGAGGTATATTTTAGGTCACAGTTTAAAGGGTGTAAGCCATCATGGGCAGAGAGGTATGGTGCCTGGAGCAGCTCAACCTGTGGTGGCGGGAGCACACAGCAATTCTTCTCACATCTTAGCAGGTTAGGAAGCAGAGTTTAGGTCAGAACCAGAAGAAGATATCACCTTCAAGTTTCTACTCCCAGGACCCACTTCTGCCACCAGCTGGGGACCAACAACTGTTCAAATACAGGAGCCTGTGGAAGACGTTATACATTCAAACATAACAAACAGAGAGTAAAATGGTAGTTACTAGAGGCTGGGGTGGCATGGCTAGGGAAATGTTGGTCAAAAGACACAAGCTTTCAGTTAGACAGGAGAATGGTGACTATAGTTAATAACAATATACTACATATATTTAAAAGTTGCCAAGAGAATATGTGGCTTTTACCTCCAAAAATGAGAATATGAGGAAATGCATGTTAAATAGCACAGTGTAGCCACCCCACAATGTATACACATATCATGCTGTGAAATATAAGTAGATACAATAATTACTTATCAATTAAAGTGTATCTAGGATTGCTCCTTGTCACGTCTCTTTTAGAGTATTAGATAAATAAAATCTTTAAAACACACAGAGATGGCCTGGGTAGCATTTGCATCCCTGTGTATTATGTTCTACAAGGCCGGCAGCATCTCTAACCTCCCACTGTCCGGTCACATAAATCAATAACATTATAGCTGGGCATGGTGGTGCAGGTCTATAATCTCAGCACTCGGGATCTGGAAGCAATTTCAGACCAGGTGAGGCTACATAACAAGACCTTATCTCCAAAAAAGAAAATAATAAACAAACAATAGAATCATTTGTCTAATGATCCAACTTTAGGTTCTACCATTCATAAATGAGAATTATTAATTAAGTTGATCAAACAGAAGCAAGTTCAGTGCCATGATGGTCAAAGAGGACCTGAAATGCTGCTCCATGGTAGGTGTCACACTATCCATCCTGTCCATCAAGAGGGAATCCATTTGCAGCTTGCATCCCAGTGGAGAAGGGACTCTGTCAGAGACCTAGGATACATCTTCGCCATTGCTACAGTAGCGCGTAGAATAAGGGTTACAGGTTGAGGTAGAAAAGGTGAGAGCAGAAGAAATCCCTGGAGCTGGTGAGGGAGCAGCAAGATCAGGCCTTTGGCATCAGAGGTCCAGCAGGTCAACTAGAATTTTGCTAAAATCTTCTTAGTCAAAGACCTTTGATGACACATAACAGAGAATCTTTCAACAGAGAATCTCCTCACCTGGAACCAGAGATGTGAGCATCAGTTAATACGGCTCTGCCTCTTCACCAGAGCCAGAGGATAGAAATTTCTCTCAGAAATGGATGAGAAGGGAAGGGAGGGAGGCTGAGTGATGAGCTCTGAATTGGAGCTTTGTCTCTATCAAAGCAACCAATAAACACTGAACTTAAAGGAAAGTAGCATGCTTTACTAATAAAAAGACATCGGTGCTCTACCAGGTGTGGTGGTGCACACCTATAAAAATCCCACACTTGAGAAATGGAGGTAGCTACATAGCAAGGTTGAGGCCAGCCTGGGCTATATGAAACCCTATTCAAGATAAAACAACAGGACTGGAGAGATGCTCAGTGGTTAAGAGCAAACACTGCTTTTCCAAGGGTTTGAGTTTATATCCCAGAACCCACATTGGGCAGTGCACAACTACCTGTAACACCAGCTCCAGGGGATCCAACATTCTACTGGCCTCTGTGGATACCTACACTTGGGTGTACATACCCACACACTGACACACATGTGCACATAACTAAAAAATAAAACAAATCTTGGGGCTGAAGAGATGGCTCGGGGGTTAAGAACACTGGTTGTTCTTGCAGAAGACCCAGGTTCGAATCCCAGTATCCACATGGCAGCTAACAACTGTCCATAACTCTAGTTCCAGGGGGCCTGACAGCCTCTTCTGACCTCTGCGGGCATTGCACGACATGGGTGCACTTACTTACATGCAGGCAATGCACGCATACACATAAAGTAAAAATAATAAATAAAATTTAAAAAAATAAAATAAAACAAATCTTTTAAAATAAAACAATGAAGAGAATGCCGGCACTAATGATTTCTTGGTGAGAAGATGGAATTTGGAATCTGAGTTTTTCATGCATCTTTGTCACCTAAGTAAGCACCATCGCCCACAATACCACAGGAGAGCTGCACAGAGCTCTCACAATGGTGTGTGTTCAGCCCACTTTACCAATACTTTGCCATTTCTCTGAACACTAAAGAAATGAAGACCTAAAGCCCTCTGACTGGGGACCCTACAGCCCACAAACTACTCAGGCCTCAAGCCAGAGACTGACGTGTTATATTTTCTGTGAGGGAAAGTTTTTATACATCTGAGCTCTCACTTAAGACCTCTACAATAATTCAACACATGTGATACATCTCTCCAAGCATGGGCAGGGGGCAAGAAAGCTAAAAAGAAATATTGGGCAAAGACACCTGGGTGTCTTAAGAGTGACTTTGTTCAAATTATCTGTCTGGGCATTATAGACAAATATCCAAAAGACATCTCTAAAAGCAATACCTTAAGGGGTACAGTTGCACATATGCAGTCACGGCAATTGTGACAACATGCATAAGACCTATGGAAGCTCAAGCCAGACAAAACTCCCAGCATAGATGGGGGGAGGTGGGCAAAAAGCCCCTCACCTAGCTGAGGAACTATTAGCAATTGATAGCTGCTGGGAGACAGAGAGTCTGTTTTCTTTAATGCTGTGATGCCGGGTAGGTTGACCAGGCTCCAGGGGATGAACCCATACACAAGAGTATTTGGGGACATAAATAAGACTCAATAGGCCTTAAAAAATAATAGAGGACATGAGGGGAGGAGTAAAGTGAGGGTGAGATGGGGAAGGGGGTCTGATTATGATCAAAATACATTGTATGAAATGCTCAAAGAATCAATAAAAATGTTTTTTAAAACATGATTGTCAATTTCAAAAAACAGCTATACCTCAAGGACTTTTCCTCCTAAGACAGTCCCAGGTCTGGGCACTCTCACTTTTGAAGGTCCTAGCCCACATTATACCAAAGTGAGCCTATGTCCCACTTTAATTTTCTGATAAACTTGACTAGTTTTTTTCTAGTCCTGTTATAATTATTTGGCTCATGGACAATTCATTTAACTTATACTTCAGTGATATCTTAACAGTAATCACAAAAGCATGAGAGTTCTCCCTAAGGAGAGGTGCCTAATCCACAGATTATTTTTAACGTAATTCTTGAGTGCCACGTGTAATCCCAGCACTTGAGAGGCTGGGGCAGGAGGGCTGAAAGTCAGAGGCCAGACTGGAATAGATAGTGAATTCAATGCCAGCCTAAGCTTTAGAGTGAGAACTTACCTCAGAAACATTTTTTAAAGATTCATGAATGTACTCATTATTGAAGTTGACACAATGTTCTGTCTTGTAAACATATAGATAGATAAGCACAAGCTTTTTTTATGGTCGTGTTGTAGGTTTGTTTTGTTTTGTTTGTTTTGTGTTCAAGAGTCAATGTGTTTTCCAGATCTTAAATGTCTTTGCCACAATCCTGAGTTCTGAGCCCTTGTTTCCAGTAGGTGAAACAACTTTGCTTACTTTCTGTTTAGGAATAAAAACACTTATAAATGCAAATTAATAACCATTTATAGAAGTGAAAATTAAAAGTGTTTAAATCAGCAAATACATTTTAGGGAGTAATTTTTTTCTTCAAACAAAAGGAACTTAGTAAATGTCTCTTAGAGTCAGCATAGGTAATACCTGAAAGGGGACACACAGATGGCACACACATTATTCAAACACCTGTGTTGAAATGGTTGTTCTCCGTCAGTCTGATTCCCCTGAAGCTGACTGATAGAAAGACTTCAAGGCAGACGTGTACTGGCTTTTCATCAGATCAGCACCTGTACAGGCAGTTGAAGGAAGCAGGTCTGGGCAGAGGAAGAACGTGAACAGTAATGGACAAGCTCTAGCTGCCACAGCTATTAGAGATAAGCCCACTCGAAGCCAGGAGGACTAAGCCTTGATATTAACATTGATGTTATGTTAATATTATATTAACATTAACATTTATATGATTAACATGCATATAAATGACCTGAAGGATCTTGTTAAAATGAAGATTCCAAGTCAATAGTTCTGCTGTGGACCACAAGATTCTATATGCCAATAATTCCCTGTGGGGTTGATATTGTTGGTCCAAAGACCACACCCTGAACGGCTCTAAGGCAACTTGTCCCTCACCTATCATTGTGTTGTGTTAAGATTCACAAATGAGATCCATCAGAGCACATGGGTCATAGGATGTATCCCTCCATCACTGGGTGAAGCATTTGTGATCTGCCAGGTCCCTCACAGCAGTCTTAACATCCTTGTTCCTCAGGCTGTAGATAATGGGGTTCAGCATGGGGGTTAGAAGTCCATAGAAAAGGGAGATTAGCTTGTCTGAAAGGTACTGCTTGTCTTCCCCCAGAGGATCCTTGGACTTGGGCTTCCCATACATAAAGAGGATGGTCCCATAGAAGATGACCACCACAGTGAGATGCGCAGAGCAGGTAGAGAAGGCCTTCTTCCTCCCCTCAGCCGAGGGGATCCTCAGGATGGTGGAGAGTATAAAGATGTAGGAGACAAAGATGAACAGAACTGGGACCCCCAGGAAGATCACATTGGCCACCCCCATGCTGATGACATTGATGGAGATGTCAGCACAGGCCAGCTTTAGAACTGCCAGGATCTCACAGGTGAAATGGTTGATGACATTGTCCCCACAGAAAGGCAACTGTACTGCGAGAGAGATCTGTACCAAGGAGTTGACTCCTCCAGCCAACCAGGAACTGGCAGCCATGGGCACATAGGCAGCCTTGCTCATGACCACAGGGTATCTCAGGGGGTTGCAGATGGCCACATAGCGATCAAACGCCATCATGCCCAGGAGCACACACTCTGTGGCTCCCATGGCAAAGGAGAGAAACATCTGCACAGCACAGCCTGAGAAGGAGATGGTTTTCCTGAGAGTGAGGAAACCATGCAGGACCAGTGGAACTGAAGATGTGGTGTAGCAGATGTCCAGGAAGGAGAGGTTCCCCAGGAAGAAGTACATGGGTGTGTGCAGGTGGGAGTCCAGGATGGTGACCAGGATGAGGACCCCATTGCCCAGCAGAATCACCAGGTACATTGATAGGATGAGCACAAAAAATGTTTTCTCCAGCTTGGGGTGGGCCGAGAGACCCAACAGGACAAATTCTGTCACAGTAGACTGGTTAGATAATTCCATTTCAAACTTTCTCTTTCACCTCTATGAATACTGAAAGCAGAAAATATACACCCACTATTTGACTTGCTTGAATCAAAACATAGGGATCACAGTACACTGTCTTTAATATTGTCCATAAACCTATCTTCTGAGCCAGGTGTGGTGCTGCAGGCCCTTAACCCCAGCACTCAGGAGGCTGACACCGGAGCATCACAACTTTGAACCACCATGGGCTGCATCGTAAGACCTTTCAAAACAAAACAAAACAAAACAATTCTCTGAGATTCAACTATGAAACCAAATTATCTAAAAGTCAACTTCTGCAGCAGACCTTGAAAAAGCTAATTAAATTTAATAAAGTAGAGGATGTGGTGGTTTGAGTGAGGTATCCCTCACAGACTCAAGTATTTGAACACCTGGTCAGTTGGAGGCTCTGTTTTGGGAGGTTCAGGTGATGCAACCTTGCTAGAGGAAGCATGTCAAGTTCAGGAGAGAGACTTTGAGAGTTCTTAACTCCATGAATTTACACTGTGAATTTTATTTAGCTATAAATAAAAATGAAATTATAATAACTTCAGGAAAATGGATGGGACTGGAAACAATTGAGGTAACCTGGGCTTAGAAAAGCAAATATATTCTCTCATATGTGATTCTTAGCTTCTAATTGTGTGATATCCAGATGGGAGTAAATATGGGTAAAGGCCAGGAAATTAGAAAGGGGCCCATGTCACTAGAAAAAAAGAGGTTTTAAGGGAGAGGAGTTGGAAACGAGACTAGAACAAAGTGGAAGGGGGGATAGTGGGGAGAAAGGGTGCAGTGGAAACGGGAGCGGGTAGATGAGCAGAGTATGGGGAGAAGAACCAACACAAATGGAATATGTATACAAACCATTGGGAAACCTGTTAGCTTAGAATTTAATTTTATAAATAAATAATTTCATAATTAAATAAAGAAATTAAGATAAAGGGGAAAGCTTTAAAGAAAAACTGATTTCAGCACAGTGTGGAGGCCCACACTTATAATCCCAGTACTCAGGAGATCGAGGAGGCAGAAGGATCATGAGTTCAAGGCCAGGCTGATCTATAGATTGAGACCTTGCCTCAAAAAATCAAAGCGAAAACCACAACAGAAACACACACACACACATACACACACACACACACACACACACACCACAAAACACAAACAAACAAAACCTGATTTCTGTCCTTCCTTTGGAAAATTACCTTGGCCGTCTGTTTCTATTTTGTTTCTTTGTTTTGTTTTTAAAATAAAAGTTCCTAGCCAAGCATAGTGGTACATACCTGTAATTCTAGCACTCAGGAGGCGAGGTAGGATCATGAGTTTGAAGGCAGCCTGGGCTACAATGACACACAACACACACATACACACATACACACACACACACACACACACACACACACACACACACACACATACAGACACACACCACATGCACACAGTACTGATGGACACCAAACTTAGGAATCACTAACCTATCTCAACCCTCTCAGCTAAGAGTTGAAGCAGCTCTGAGGTCAGGAGACATTTGAAAACTACATGTGATCCTGGAAGAGTGCTTTTATCTAGTTGGTAATGATATAATGTCCAGATGGAGTTACCTCAGGATACCAGCGATTAGGGGTGAGGAATTATATCTACAGAAAATCTCCTTTTAGTGCCAGGAGCCCCAAATCAGCCTCCTCCTGTTAGTTTCTGAAGTCACTGTCACGGGGGCCCTCTCTTCACTCAGTGATCTCTCAGCCTCACTCAAATGTCTGGACAACTGGAGGCCCCAGGATTGTGGTTAAGAAGTTTGGATTAGTAGACTTTTTCAGGGACCTGAAATCTTCCCTTTTATAACTTTTCCCTTTCTCCATGGGTCCTAAGTCAGCTTTCTGGGCTCATTCAAAGCATACCTGTTTTCATTCCAGTTGTAGCCTTCAGAGCTGTGCTATTTCACAATGCCCTGTCCCACCCAAACCTACCCAGTCTACTCCCTGCACTGGTTGCCAGTGATGTGACCTCGTTTCTTTCCCTGCACCTAGGGAAAACTGACTCAGAGGTTGTCTAAGTGCGTACCCAGTGTAAGGTACAGTCTAAGCTACACCTGTTGCTTCCAGAGGTAGATTAGTAGAATGGTGAGGCGGCCGTTTTACCAAGGTCAGGACAAGTGACTAACTCGGGGTTACCTGGCCATCTGGATGCTATCTAGCTGTAACCCAGCAGGCCAGGCAGATTGAATAGCTCAGAGCTATCCCAGTAACAGCGGGATGTGCAGTCTTGCCATGGCATACATACAGTCTTTAGCTATTGTTTCACTATGTGGCGTCTTTAACTGACCCTGAGTGTCGGAAGGTCCAAGATGAGTCCTAGCCAGGCAAGCTCTTGCCTGAGCTTAGGACTCAGTAACATAAGGAGAGGACAACTGATTCTCAAGCTTGAGGCTCCTGGGGAGCCCCAGCCCAGAGGCTGCTCCTGGGGCAGCCAGTGAACCACACCCAGCCACCAGGCCCAGCAGCAGCTCTCCCCTGTGCTCCAAGATGCTCTCCAGGGCTCTAGAAAGATTCTCTCAGGAACTTAGGACCAGGTGGCTCTGGGGCCATGTCCTATCCCAGAAGCAATTTAAAGTTTGGTGAGAGGCTCAGAGCTAAGACTTCACCCAATTAGGTAAAGTATGAAATCTATCTGAAGCAATCTCTCACTACACAAAGTTCAACTCAGAAAGTTTTTTGGTGTCAGCTACTCAAAACTCTCCTGGACTTTGATCACAAGCATCGATTCAAGGTGGTTCTGTCAGCTCAGAGAATCTAGACAGGAAAACTGAGCCTCAGGAATTTCAAGCCAGATTCTCCAGTCATGTAGACATCAGATCCCTCCATCCTCTGTCTCTGCCTCTGTCTCTGTCTCTCTCTTGCATGCTCTCTCATCTCTCTCCTCTGTCTCTCTCTTTCCCTCTCCCCAGTTTCTCCCCACCAGTCTTCTACTACTCTAATCTCTATGCTACAAACATATATGTGCCCAATACTTGACAATTAGGGTGGATGGGAGACACACTATGACCAAGAATGGGTCACTGTTTTCAGAGGACCAGCAGCGTGGAAGTGTCCGTAAAACCAGATACAGCCAAGAGTACCGCAAAGCTGTCTGGAAAGTTGGGCACAGTGGAGTGTATGGAACTGGTCCAGGATGAAAATTAATAGGGAAGGAAGAGTGAGTGGCCTTGGAGACACTTAGAGGTGAGAAAATATCAGATTTAGAGAGAGATGTGAGATAGCAGATACCAGAGAGAAAAGAATCAATCATGGTTAAGGTACCTGCTAGCTAGCTTCAGAACATGTTACCCCAAATACAAGATAAGATAAAAAAAATAGTGCTTTGGATCTGAAATGTCCAACAAAGACCCATGTGTTGTTAGCTTTATTCCAGCTTGGTGTTATTGAGAGATGGTAGAAACTTCAAGAGGTCCCCTGGTCACTGGGGACATGCCCTTGAAGATGATAATGAGAGCCTTCCTCTTTCTCTCTTTTACATCTTGACCATGAGGTAAATGGCTTTGCTCCCCCACATGCTCTCTACCATAACATGCTCTCTCATCACAAGCACAAACACAATAGGACCAAGGGACCATGTACTGAAACTTGTGAGTTAAACTCAATTTTTCTTGAAGATTTGGAATGTAGCTCAGTTGGTAGAGGGCCTAGTATGCATTAATCCATGGTTTCAGTCTCCAGCACCATACAACTGGGTGTGGTGGCACATCCCACCACTCAAAAGAGGGAGGCAGAAGGATCACAAGTTCAAGGCCAGCATGGGCTACATACATAATAAGACATGGAAGTGCCAAGAGGAATCTAAACAAAGAGGTCTGGTCGACTCCCTGATAACTACCTTAGCTCACTCTTTCTACCCTATCACATTTCTCAATTCCCTTCCATTCTTCATCAAACTTATTATGATCAACATTCAGGTTTAGCTCTTTCTTACTCCTATAAAAGATCCTGGGGGTCTGGAGAGATGGCTCAGCAGTTAAAAGCTTTCACTGCTCTTGCAGAGGGCCCAATTCAGTTCCCAGCATGCAGGTCAAGTGGCTCACAATCACCTGTAATTCCAACATCTGACACCCTCTTCTGGCCTCTGTGATCACCTGCAATCATGTGCCCAAACCCACACACAGGCCCACATATATACATAATTAAAAATGAAAACAAAATCTTTTTTAACAAAGCTCTTGCATCGTGAATATTTATACTGAATAGATTAGTGTGCTTTTCTTTCATTAATCTATCTTTTTTAAATAAGGGCCCTAGGCCAATGAATAGAAGAGGCTATTTTCCCTCCCCTATATACCAGATCCTGAGAGTCAAAAGCCAGCCTAGGAGGCGGTAAGAGGGGAGCTTGTCTGGGCTGGCAGGAGAGCAGCAGCTGTGGGGTTGTTTCTGACATTTTTGTATACAATGTCTATTCTTCTGCTGTGCCCAGCCTTATTTGTTTCTGGAAATAAATAAAGAATAAATAATTTCTGTGTTTGAGGAGTTTACAACACATTAAATTTGCTAAACTGGTGAGGCATTGACATTAGAGGTGTCATTACAATGGTTCTCCAAATCTTGTGCTATCTAATGTTTCCAACAAATCTATGAAGTAGGTATGAGGGTGTGGTAGTGTAATACAGTAAATATATATGTACATACACACAAGTTTGGTGTCAGGAGTGTTGGGAAAAAATAGAGTAGCTGTAGAAGAAAATTTGGATGGTGAACAGGCATTAAGGGCCCTCCTACACTAGGCCAGGGCACTTAGCATTTATAATGTCCACCATCTTTGACCCCTGCCCTCTCAGGGTCAAAGGCCTGGAACCTCCACTCTGTCCCACTTGTTTTTTGATAGGGGTCATAAAGGAATAGTAATATAGTCAGGCCTCCCATCTGGACAGTGTCATGTCAGTCAGAGCCCAAGTGCTCCAGTGGCCCCTCTGTGACAGTGCTCCATGTCTTGCACTTCTAGGAACCTGCTGTTTT